AAAAAAAAAAAAGCCAGAAAAGCAAAAACCAATAGGCAAGGTGCAGTGGCTCATTCCTGTAATCTCAATACTCAGGGAGGCCAAGTTGGGTGGATTTCTTGATTTTAGGAGTTTGAGACCAGTGTGAGCAAGAGTGACACCCTGTCTCTACTAAAAACACAAAAGCTAAAGCAAGAGGATTGCTTCAGCCTAAGAGTTTGAGGTTGCTGTGAGCTATGATTCCATGACATTCTACTTAGTTCACCCTCCTTGGCCTCCCAGAGTGCTAGGATTTACAGGTGTGAGCCACCTCACCTGGCCTGTTTTTTTTTTTCCTTTTTTTGAGACAGAGTCTCACTATGTCACCTTGGATAGAGTGCTGTGGCATCACAGCTCACAACAACCCCAAACCCTTGGGCTTAAGCGATTCTCTTGCCTCAGCCGTCCAAGTAGCTGAGACTATAGGCGCTGGCTAAGAATGATTTTTTTTTTGAGACAGAGTCTCAGTTTTTTGCCCTGGGTAGAGTTCTATGGCATCACATCTCGCAGCAACCTCAAACTCTTGGACTTAAGCAATCCTCTTGCCTCAGCCATCCAAGTACCTTGGACTACAGGCGCCTGCCACAATGCCCGCTATTTTTAGAGATGAGGTCTCCAAATAGCTTAGGCTGGTCTCAACCCAGGCGCTCAGGCAGTCCACCCACCTCAGCCTCCCAAAGTGCTAGGATTACAGGTATGAGCTGTTGCACCTGGTCCTAAGAATGATTCTTGACATCATGCCTTAGTCATTTGGAAAATACTGGCTTACTGAGTTACGCTCCTCTTTCCTATGTTGAGACATTTCATATACGAGATTAAACGATTGTATGTATTGATATCACCACCAAACTCATTAGAGCAGCTCTCAAACACATGTGGGGTTACACTCAGACTAATGGTGGCACATACAAGTTTTCCAAAATTCTGATTTTCTTCTGAGTACTCAAATGTCTTAATGGCACAGATACAGTTGATTTCTATTGAAAAGGTAGGCTTTCTGTGTTCATTTTTAGGAAAGTGTATCAAATCCCCAATTTGAACATCTATAGTTTGTCAGTGGACCAGAGTGTCTAGCACAGCTGTCATGCAATCATAAGGGCTTTTCCTGAAGAAAATTGTTTGGGATGTAGCAAAAATGCTTTATCCAGAAATTGTGAAGTTGGGTGTTTTGGATATTTTTGTGTATATTTATCTGATACCTCAAACTAATGGGAACATCCTAAGTGAAATATACCAGAAGGCTGTTAAAACTTTTATCTTCCCCTCGGTGCCTGTGGCTCAAGGAGCAAAGGTGTCAGCCACATAATACCTAGGGTGGCAGGTTCAAATCCAGCCCGGGCCCACCAAACAACAATGACGGCTGCAACCAAAAAACAAAAAAACTTTTATCTTTCTAGCTTGTTTTGTAACCTGAGGCTTCACCACGTGTGTGAGGGGCTAATATATAAACTGGTAGCCTCCACATCAGCCTCTAAAACTGTTGGGATTGCAGGCGTGATCCATTGTGCACAGCCCCTTTGACTTCTGCTAATTTTGGAGATTATTTCATATCAGTTCCTAAACACTTTTATCAATGTCAAATTTTACTTCCTCAGTTACCTCCTTACTGTGTGCATATTCTTTTTTTTTT